CTACTTATCTGCCTTGGAGGCAAGAGTCACGTTTTAGCATCGTTTCCTAATGCCCACGGACCCTGCTGAGCCACACTGACCCTGCTCGGCAGAGATATAGGAAGGGTGCCCAGTGCGGGGGGAGATGCTGGTGGTGGGGTGGAGGGGGCCGACACGGCTCTCCCTGCATGCTGCTTGCACCCAGCAGGCAAGGACGTGGGCAGGGACAGAGGTTTGGCAGCGGAGAGGGGCAGGGACACACGTGTGGAGGATGAGGATGATGCTGTGGATGAAGGCACTGAGTGAAGGGGATTGCAAGGGCCGTAGGAAACTGGAGTCTTGCGGGAAAGCCACTTTGGCACTGTTAATTCATTTATCTGATGAAAGCTGTCTTTACCCCTAGCCTAACAGCTCATCTATGCAGCCAACGGGCTTTGGGCTGAATCCACATATGTGGTAGGGGAAGACAACAGCAATGAAGACTTGGAGGTGTGAGCCATGCACGCACAAGCGAGCAGGACGTGCCCCTGGGGGTTGCTAGCTTGTGCCCAAATGTATTTGGCTGCATCTTTGCTGCTGGGTCCTCTCCCAGCCTCAGTGGGGTGTCCCGGATCCTCTGCCCTGGGGCTCTGCAGTGCCCGGGGCATCACGGCCTCCGAGCACAGCTCAGTGTTGTGCTGGAGTCTGCTCCCGAGGCTTTGCAGCGGGATGTGGGCTTCACCTGGAGGAAGGCCAGCTACACCTCTTCTCCCTCAGCTGTAGAAGTTGAATTTAGCATCAGCGTGTGGACTGAGGGCTTGGCCCTTCTCCCTCCAGCCCTCCCACACTGGAGCTGGAGATGCTGCCCACCATCACCTCCACCCATCCCTGAGCCCTCGGAGAGAGGACACAGAGCTGTGCTGCGGAGGCAAGCAGGCACCATCCTCTCCTTACTCCAATTAGATTTGCCTTTTTCTGTCTTTCTGAGTGGTGGCATTGACATGACCGAGACCTTTCTCACCTTGGGCTGGGAGCTGTAAACACAGGCAGCATCCAGCACCCCTGCCCCAGCCTGAAAATAGGATGGTAGACTACAGGTGGCTGGGAGGAGCAGGGCGAACGTGCAGGCGAAGTGGTGAGGCAGCCCTCAGCATAATAAATAGCAGCACCACACACCACCTGCCTACCCATTATCAGCTGCTTTGTAGGCACCCGAGCAGAAAGGAGTTGGAAGGAGGGGTTTGAAAAGGGACGCAGAGAGACTCCAGGCTGCGTTAGAGAGAGTTTCTCCCACGTAGAGGGATGAGGCGAGAGAAAACATGAAAGCATTGGTAGGAAAATCTAGCAAAAAAAGTCTACAAGTTCTGGCTGGGGGTTCAGCTGAAGCCTCCCAGCAGCTTCGAGGGCTCACTAGCAATTTTTCCCTGCAGCTTGCAAACAAGGTAAGTGAAGCATCAAGGGTTTAGGTGCTCAAGGGGAGCAAGTGAGCAGCACCCAGGTGTCCTTTTTCCAGCTGGGGAAGGAAGGAGATGGCTGGGCTTGAAGATTTCCTCCGTGCAGGGTTTGCTCTGTAGGGTCTGGGTAGAGGGAGAACGATGGGGGAGGTGGGAGGAGACATGGTGTCTCTCCTCCCAAACAGAAAATATGTTCCCAGTGACTGCAGTGGTTTTGCACCTTAATTATTTCCTTTGGCTCTGCTACTGGGAATGGTTGTGTCCTTAAAGTTGTTAAAAGGGCAAAAGAGAGAGGAAAAGCAATCCTGACATCCTGTCCATTGGGTCCAGATGTAGCTCGCAGAGTGCAAATTAGTGGATGCAGAATGGAATCACTTAAAAAGAAATTTAATGAGATCGGTATGCAGGCATCTGGTTCCTATCAATCATAATTTTGCGTGATATGCAATGGTAAATATCATCTTTTTAATGGCTCCGATGAAGAATAAGAGCCCAAACACACACACACAATGAGCCAACAAAATTCCAGAGCCTGAGATGTTTGAATTCTCAAAAAATGTTCTGTAGATGGAAAAACCCCAACTGACACCTCTTCTAATTCACTATTGTTTGAGTTATTTTATTTCTTCCTTTATTTTTTCTTCTTTCCTCTGGTTATATTTAACCTTTGTGTTAAATTAATCTTCTCTGTTTATTAACAACTACCACTGAGCGAGCCTCCTTCCCTCTTTTTCTTGGTTCGACAAGTCAAATATTTGCTCTAGGCCAGAAGTTCTTGCTGCAGGCGCCTGCCTTTCTCCAGCCCTGCAGAGAGACACTGGCCAAGGAGAGACAGCTGCAGGTCTCTGGCCGGCCACGGATTTGCTTTTCCACTTGAAGCAAAGATGATTTGAGCTCCCCTGTTTCAATTCTCCGTGGATGAAAGTGAGCAGACAGCACATGGGGTTGAGCATGTGCGCGGGGGCTTTGCTGGTTTTACATCCCTCCGGCACCACTGCCGTCCCTCTTGCAGGTCCCTTAGGAAAACTGCTGGGCTCAGCTCCCGTGGGTGCATCACCTTGAGGGTCTGCAAAGTGGGGAAAGGTTGGAAACCAAATATTTGGATCCTTTGTTGGCCTGGTCTCGCCCAGCTTAGGGATTTTGGGGGTTTGATCAATCTTTGCTCCCAGTGTAGCTGGCTGAAAGCGGCAGAGAGGTGGAGGTGATGCCATGGGAGAGGCGTGAAGCCCCTGTTCCTGAAGGGCATCGGCTCCAGCGGCTCCTTTTGGCCCTTCTCCTGGTGGGGGGATGCTGCGATTCCTGGCGATGCAGGGGTCGGTTCCCCCTTGCTGTACCCCTTGTGCCGAAAGAGCCAGGCTCAGACCAGGTATTTTTCTCAACTCATTCCCTGGGTCTTCACAGCATCATGCCCTTGAGCTGAGATCAAATAAGGCTTTTCAAGGAACTTCTGATGGTTTGGGATTCAGAGGCTTAGGCATGCATTGCCTGGCTGGCAGCCTCCATCCCCTGCATTGGGGTAGGCTGTGGGCAGCAGGTCCTGCTTCCAGCAGCACCCCCTGCTCCCAGCACCCAGGGGGGATGCCTGCCAGAGCTGGAGGATGGGGGGGGAGAGATCTGCTAGCAGGGATGGCAAAACCCGTAGCTCTGACCTCGGCGGGGTGTTTGCTGTTGATAGGTGGAGGGCGTTGATCTCAAGGGCCGGCTGGAGCTGCGGGCTTGGGGGCTGCAGCAGCTTGTGCAGAGGTGGGGAGGGATGGGGGGGACAAGGATGCTGGGGCCAGATGGAAAAAATAGTCCCATTAAAACAGAGAAGAACATTTGTTCTTCTGTTGGGAAATGCTTGAGGCAGAAATCTTGAATCCTGGTGCTATCTCCATGGACCCAGCAGGCTCCATCCCCCAGCCAGGGGACCTGTGTCCATCCCCGACCACCTCTGACAGCTCCGAGCTGAAGGGTACGGACCGAGCATCTCTGTGGCGACAAGAGCTGGAGACAGACGGGCCCAGGAATGATTTCTCCTGACAGGAACCAGATGTGTCAGGAGGAGCTTTGCTGGGGGGGGAGGCTGCACAATAACAAGAGGAGTTTTGTCACGGGTCCCCTCTGGGTTTTAAAAGCAACACCTTGTCTCCCTCTTCCACCTTCCTTCCTCCCACACCCTTTCCGCCACTTACTCCTCACACCTCCAAACCCTATTTTGGGCCATCTGATGAATCCCAGATGCCTCGGGGAAGCAACAGAAGTGGCGGTGCACTCCAGGCGCTGCTTCATGCCACTTCCTTGGCAATGCCCCCAAGCTTTCGCAAGCCAAGGGAGCGGGGGAAGGAAGGGGGGGGGGAAGAAGGATACCGAAGTGGTACACAAGCCTGGTCCTCAATATTGTGATTATCTGTGGAGTGGTGAGTGTGGAAGAGGATCCCACCCGGTCCTGGAGGGAGGTAGTGATGGTTGGGAAAAGGGGTGGGATGGGTTCATGTGTTTTGGGATGGTGCTTGGGGAGGGGGTTACAGCAGCCTGGGAGAGGGGAGGAGGCAGTCTGTCTGGAGCCGGGGATGGTGGGGGACAGCCCGGGGAGCTGTCTGCCACCTCCTGAGCATCCTTCACTGGTCCAAGGAAAGGGGAGCCCAGGAGGAGGCAGGGAGAGCCCTGTTGGAGAGAGGGAGCTGGGTGAAAGGGAGCAGCAAATGCTGATGTGGTTCTCTCCTGTGTAAATGGGGTGGTTAATGCAACTCGAGTGTCAGCCCCAGCTGCTGAGAGTGACTGGCTGCAACGCTGGCATTGGTGGTGTTGGCATTGGTAGCCCCAGCCCTGTGCCCTGTCACCTTGTGCCCTTCAAACCTGCCAGCCCTCCAACTCCCCAGGAAGCTTAGCACATCAGCTGCATCCACAGCTTCACTCGCTTCACCCACATTTCACTGGGGTTGACTTCATCCCACAGAAAAGAGGGTCCCCAGCCCCTCAGAGGCGCTGGCTGGGTGTTTGAGGCATCTTCGTGCTGGGGAAACCAGCTCCTGGTGCAGATGAGCAGTGATATGAGCTCAGGGCTGAGATCTTGCTGGACACTCTGGTGGGGCTGATCTGTGAAATGTGGGGACATCCTGCGCAGGGGGAGACTATTTTGGGTGGCAATGCAGGAATAAAGCCCATGGGGCCAGGAAGCTGCTGTGGGACTGGGGAAGAGGGACAGGGAGATGTTGGCTGGCATGAAGAGAGGTTTTCATGCTCTTCACTGGCTCTCTGAGACAGGACGTGATATTTTGATGTATGTGGGCATGTATAGAGCATCTGGCATGCCTGGGTGAAGTCTCTGGGTATCAAGAACTCACTCTTGCCTCTGCTTTGTAGATGAATATCCAGCTGTGATGCCCTTGTAGCAGATAGGGAAGGTTGGGGAGAAAAGCATTAACCTGCTGATTTTTAGGCAGCTGAATGCCACAGCTTCTGGGGGGTTCAATGAGAAAACCAATGTTAGCTGTGTTAGATGCAAGGGGGTGGTTTCAAGCATCTCCCCCCCTTCCAAGCTTTGCTTTAACCTCTCAGCCTGCTCTCACCTTCCTGATGGTGTTTTATGTCTATTCTTTCTTGAAGGTTTTTTGTCAACTTCCCCTCGGCCAAGCAGTACTTCAGCCAGTTCAAGCACATGGAGGACCCATTGGAGATGGAGAGGAGCTTGCAACTGCGTAAGCACGCTCGGCGGGTCATGGGTGCCATTAACACTGTGGTGGAGAACCTCAATGACTCCGAAAAGGTGTCCTCTGTTCTGGCCCTGGTGGGCAAGGCGCATGCCCTCAAGCACAAAGTGGAGCCCATCTACTTTAAGGTAAAGGATAGAAGCAAAAAAAAAAAAAACTCTGGGATGCTTTAGAAATTGGGAAGAGAGCAGGAAAGAGGGATGCGTGGCGAGCCGGTGCTGTCTGTCCTCACCCAGAGGAGGTTGGCTGGTCGCTGGGGTTGCTCCCCACGTGGCTGCAGTGTCCTACTGCGATGCTGTCCCACGCAGACCACCGTTCCCAAACGCAGCCAACGCTGAAGCACCAAGTACCTCGCCCTGCCCGGGGAAGCCTGCCTGCATCCTGCTGGCAGCCCCCTCTGGCATGGTTGCGGTCATATGTCCCTTCTTTCAGAAACCAAGCATGATAGAAGGGACTAAATTTGAGGTGCCCAAATTAGGGAGATGCTTGAACCTGCAAGCAGCACTCCATGGTGCCTGGGTGTCAGCCTCCCCCCTGCCCAGGCTACCTGTCCCATCTGTTCCCTGGGGTGTCAACAGACCTCCCGAACATCTGTCTGTCCCACACAGGGTTGTCATTCCCCAAACTCAGCAACAGGGTTAAATTGGTTTTGTAGGAAAAAGCTAAATTTGCTGTTAGCTGCTCCCTGCAGAGTTACTAATCCTTGGCTGTCCGCCTGCCTCCAGAAACTCACTGGTGTCATGCTGGAGGTCATTGCTGAAGAATACGCCAACGACTTCACCCCGGAGGCGCACGGTGCCTGGACCAAGATGAGGACCCTCATCTACACCCACGTGACGGCGGCGTACAAGGAGGTGGGCTGGGCGCAGTACCCCACCGCCACCCTGTGAGCGGCCAGCGGGGCCAGGCGAGGGGCAGGGAGGGCTTCGCTCACCCCAGGACTTCACTCTGGTCTCTTCTCAAGATCTTCGCTCAGTCTAGGGAGCCCGGTAGGGCCAGCTCTGTTAGCTGCCAAGTCACAATTTGATCTCCATGGGGTTTAAAAACAAACTAAATAAGCCAAAACAATAGAACCGTGAAGGGTGTGGGTGGGTTGGGGTGAAGCAGTTGCAGGGGACGCTGGAAGGGGATGCAGAGCGCGAGGGGACAGCATTGGTTGTTGGCTCCATCTTACTGTCCTGGCGTGTCCATCACCACCTCCCAAATCCTCCACCTTGCTCGTGCCATCTCAAAGTCCCTTGCACAAGCTCTGCTGCACAGCAGTGACCTGCAGCCCCGTTCACTGACAAACAATACGACCCTCGTTTTCCATGCAAAGCCCCCAGGTAAACTTGGCTCCTTGCTTTTGGGGGCACGATGCTTATGGGGACCTCCGGCTGCCTGGCTGGCAGCGAAAACGCTTTGCTTTGCACTTTCTCTACTCCCCTGACAGGGTGGCAGGGCTGATGGCCATGGCCGGAGCTGCTCTCGGCTGTCCATCACGCTGCACCGTGGGCTGGCAGCAGCCCTCTCCTCTCCTGTCACCCCCAGTCCCTCTCCTTGGCTGGCTGTTGCAAACCCTCCGGGGGCTGGAGGGAGCAAGGGGGTGGGAGAAACGTGCTCCCCCAGCATAAGAGAGTGGGGAAGAAGGGGGATGCCTTTGGGCTGCCTCCACTCGTGGCTCAGAGCATGGCACATAGGTGGGATCTCTGTGCCAGATGCAGGGAGCTGGTAAGCCCACCTGGCTCCCTTCAGTTCCCATGGGCAGCAGGGACATGCATGAGGACGGGCTTGGGTGGCATATGTTGTGCCATCGCCCTGGGAGCTGGTGTCCGTAGGTCGGTCTGTCCGGCAGCCAGCAGCAGGGTAGTGCAGGGATGCAGGACTGGGGCAGCTCTGCCCTGCTTGGTGAGAAAGGGGTTCAGGCTGTGATCAGGAGGGGGAAAGATGAAGTGGACATAGCAGGAGGGATTCCTGGGTGCGAAGAAAGGTCCCTGCTCTGTTCAAATTAGTAAATAAGTTGTTACATAGAGCATATTCCTGCCCTCTTGGTGAAACTGGGCTCCTTCAAATAAAGTGCCTGGTTGAAATCAACCCACGCAGGAGCTGCGTCCCTCCTCGGGGGCCAGCAGCACTCCTGCCTGTGCCTGGCAAAGGGCTCTCCCCCCTGAAATGAGACATGGCTGCAGGGCTCGCAGCACTTATCCTGCCTCCGACACTGACTCCTCCTGAAGCTGTGGGTGAGTCTGCTTGGTTTCTGCCTCAGTTTCCCCTTCGGTTATGAAAAGGGGAGGAAGAGCAGCCCTGTTGCCTCCTGCACACATGTGCTTGGATTTATAGGATTTATGGGACTGATTCCCAAAGGACTGGGGATGAAGCATCAGATGTGCTAGGAAGCTTTGGCATCCTTGCCACCCAGTATTTCCCAAAATGTCTCTGTTATTTTTAGAGCTCTAGCATTAAGGGCAATGTTACCTACTGAAGTGGGAGGCGTGTTCCCTTCTGAGATTTCCTCTGGCCTCACTCCACTTACTGCCCTGGAGAGCTGGCAGCTTTCCGGGAGAGACCAGCTCCTCTCCTGGATGTCGGCTTGACAGGCAGTGAGCCCACAGTCCCTGGCTGGGATCCCTGTGGCTGCCTTGGGGACATCCCCCCCCCCCGCTGCTGCGGGGACACTGCTGGAGGGGGCAGCAGTCACTCTCCCCAGGGCTGACCTCCCTCCTCTGGAGCAGCCAGCCAGAAACTCCTGCTTTGCTCACCCACAGACAGTTCATCTGTGCTTTTAATCATCCCCAGGGAATAGGGGTTTTTTTCTTCCCTGTTTCTGGCGTTTTGCTGCCATGCCAAGGGGCTCCTCTGCTCCCCAGCCTTGGCACCACCTGGGGGGTGGCCAGCACTGGGTACTCGCTCCCAGAAAAGCTCTCACTGGGGTTTCCCCCTTTCCTCTGCCGGCTGTAACAGCAGGTTTCTGCTCAGGATCCGTTGGAGCCTGTACAGATGGGCAAACCCCTGGACCCCAGCCCTGCCCCTTCCATCACTCATGGCAAGATGCTGGCACAGCCCACTGCTGGGCAGTGACCCTGGGGACCACTGCTCAAAGCAGGAGGGGTGGTGTGCTTGGGGGGAAATGTCTTCTCCTGTTCCTTTGAGCTTTGTTAGATGCAGCCAGGAGTTTGTGCCGTCACCTGGTGCCCTGGCTCTGGGTAGTGGGTTTTGGGGAGGGGTCTAAACCTCTTGGCTGCATTCCTCAGTGCTCCTTTGCCTTCCTGCGGAGCCCTGGGACCAGAGTTAGTCCCAGAATAGCCCCAGGACTCCACTAATGCCACTATAGCTGCTCCCTCTGGCCTTGCAGTTCTGTCCTCCCTATGTCCCACAACAAAGCAGGTGGAGAGGAGCAACGGAGCCAGGAGCAACAGCACGTTCTGGGTGTGCATAGAGGGTTGGGTGGAAATAACCACTTGAGGCATGGCTGTCCTTGGCATGGCAGCATGCAAGGTCAAGGGGTTTATAAAAGGAAGGGACGGACACAGTGTGACAAGTGATGCTGCTTTGCTGTTGGGGTGGGCTGTCATTTAGAGTCAGCACCCTCAAAATTCAGCCTACCAGCCTGCACTCATGAAGGTGCCAGCAGCTGATGCCTCTGGCTCACATCCGAATGTCAAAGCAGCTGCTAATCCCTTGTGCAGTTGGCGGAGGCATCCTTCAAATGGCAGCTGCTGGCCAGGGTCAGGATTAGGCCCGTGCAGAGGGGAAAAGACCTGTTCAGCCATTGACTTTGCTCCAGTGCAAGACTGGAGAGCGATGACTTGGAGTAAGAGTGTTAGGTATTCTTTGGGTGCATCACGGGACTCTCACGAGCACAACTCCACCGATTTCTGCCAAAACCTCAGGGCCAGCGGCATGTATTTTCAATGAGTTCATGTACTCCCTGTGCTCTGCAGATGCTGGGCCAGGGATGTTTCATCTTTAGACAAAGTTCACACATTAACCTTTGAGGTTAATATTCTCCAGGTGGGAATTTTTATTTTTTAGTGCAAACCCTTCCTCCTCCCTCCCACAACCAAAATTGGGCTTGGTCACACTTAGAGGGCGAAGTGATTTTGGGGTGGCTGGAAAGTCCCCATGTTCATACCTGACCCACCTGAGTGCCTTGGATTTGGGGGAGCAGCAGTGAGGTCCCCCACCTCACCTTTGAAGGGGGCTTGGTTTCTTCTTTTCTTTTTTTTGCCTCCCTAGAAAAAACTGACCCATGACCTTGTGCGCCCACGTGTGCGTGTCCTGGGCTTGGGTTTTTTTTCCAGGCACATTTTTCTAAAGCAAATCCAGATGCGTGCAGCTGCTGTCCCTCGAGGAGCTCCCCCATCAGCCAAATTGCAGGCCAGTCAAATATATGCAAACAAACCCATGTTTATTTTTATCAGCTCTGTAGGAAGTAAAATGAAGCAAGGAGGGCGGCTGGGGCAGAGCTCGCAAGGGGAAGAGACAGAGATAAAGCGAACGCCCCCTCTTCGCCGCCCGCAGCAGAGCAGGCATTGCTTAAATCAGGGAAAATTCTCATCTGGGGAGAGATGAAAATGAACAGAAAAAGGGGAGAAAAAAAAACATTCCAGAGTGACAAGGCTGATAAATGCTGTGTGGAAGAGCAGAAAGGGAGGCCAGGTCCTGGCTCTGAGCGTGGCTCTCCGGTGCACACGCCTGCACAGCTGCTCCCTGTTACCGCCAGCCCTGTTGCTCCCCCCTGAACCCACCGCAGCCGGCTGGGGACCCCTTTATCTCCGCTTTCCTTCAGGCCCTGCTCGCTGGGACTCAACATTTCACCTCCCGGTACACTTGGGCTGAGATAGGGGTGCTGCCCATGCAAGCTTTGGGCTCAGCTTTGCTCTCCTTAAATGTGGCAGGTAGGGACCGACTCGCAATGCTGTTCCCCCAGAATTCACGGGTGAGAAGCTGGGGGCTCAGGGCATGGTGCCAGCACATGCTGGGGACCAGCCAGTCTCTCCCCTTCCCTGTGGAGACCCCCATGTCCCCCAGCCCCATTCACCTTCCCCAGGAATGCTGCTGGACTACTCCTGTTCACTCTGCTCTTCTCTGATGGCCGTGCTGTTGCGGCTGCCCCTGTGCAAGCCAGCCAAGCTCACCTGAGAGCTGCTGCCCCTGTAACCAGGGCAGGATCCGGCCCCTGGCTCAGCCAGTACCTCTACATTAGCATCAGGGCTGGGCTTGGACCCTTGACCGGGGTGGGAAAGTCTTTGTGCCCCCTGCCAGCAGCAGATGAATGCCACGTGAGCGGGGGGATTTGGTGTCCCTGTGGCAGGGTGGTCCCCCCCGAGCACCTTGTCCTGGCTCTCTTTGGGGACACCCGCTCATATCAACCAGCTTGTGTCTCCCCACCCCAAGTTCAACGCTGTGTTTGGTCAGAGGGAGCTCAACGCTGGAGGGAATGGGAAGCACTGGGTTGGGATGGGACACAGATCCCGTCCACCCTGTCCCCTCCTCCCTATGGCCAACACTCCAGGCAGGTATAGCTCCATATACACCCAGCCAGCTGGAGAGACACCCCAACGCCACCAGAGCTGTTTGGACAAGGAACCCCTAAGGACCTTGTGCCACCACCCTCCTCTTCTCTCATAGCAAGACAAATCCCCGAGGCAGCCAAGCCGCAGGCTCTCCCGGGGGAATCCTCTTGCACCTCTGCCAGTTTGCTGCAGTTTGCCCCAGTAAAGGGGATCCCAGCGTCTCCCCGCTCTCTGGGGAGGTGCCCAGCGACTTCAGTGGGGACCAGATTTCGGCTGGCTGGACTCTGGCACCAGAGCTCAGCCTTCCCTGCCCCTTGCCGTAGGGAAGCCGCCCTGGTGCACTGATGTCAGTGCGAGGACTGCTCGGGGCCAGCGATGCCAGACAGATGGGTGGAAGGGAAACCCATGAGCTAACCTTGGACCAACTTACGGAAAGGGAGGGATAAAACTACCCGCCTATTTAACAGAGTGCGACGCTAATTATTTTCCATAGCTGAAGTTGTCTCTAATTGTTAGTATGTCTTAACCAGTCCCACCGTGACCCACAGACATGAGCCGGCGTGGT